AATATAAAATATTAAGAAACGAATTTTCGAAAATTTTCACGCTTGCGTTATTAGGAGAACATGATTTGTAAAGAGGTCATCAACGCATCATCGACCTCCTCGCAAAATATATTCTCCTGATAATATAAATAATAAGAAACGAATTTTCGAACATTTTCACGCTTGCGTTATTAGGAGAACATGATTTGTAAAGAGGTCACCAACGCATCATCGACCTCCTCGCAAAATATATTCTCTTGATAATATAAATTATAAGAAACGAATTTTCGAAAATTTTCACGCTTGCGTTATTAGGAGAACATGATTTGTAAAGAAGTCATCAACGCATCATCGACCTCCTCGCAAAATATATTCTCCTGATAATATAAATTATAAGAAACGAATTTTTAAAATTTTCGCTCTTGCGTTATTAGGAGAACATGATTTGTAAAGAGGTCATCAACGCATCATCGACCTCCTCGCAAAATATATTCTCTTGATAATATAAATTATAAGAAACGAATTTTCGAAAATTTTCACGCTTGCGTTATTAGGAGAACATGATTTGTAAAGAAGTCATCAACGCATCATCGACCTCTTCGCACAATATATTCTCTTGATCATATAAATTTTAAGAAACGAATTTTCGAAAATTTTCGCGCTTGCGTTATTAGGAGAACATGATTTGTAAAGAAGTCATCAACGCATCATCGACCTCCTCACACAATATATTCTCCTGATAATATAAATTATAAGAAACGAATTTTCGAAAATTTTCGCGCTTGCGTTATTAGGAGAACATGATTTGTAAAGAGATCATCAACGCATCATCGACCTCCTCGCAAAATATATTCTCCTGATAATATAAATTATAAGAAACGAATTTTTAAAAATTTTCGCTCTTGCGTTATTAGGAGAACATGATTTGTAAAGAGGTCATCAACGCATCATCTACCTCCGCGCAAAATATATTCTCCTGATAATATAAAATAATAAGAAACGAATTTTCGAAAATTTTCACGCTTGTGTTATTAGGAGAGCATGATTTGTAAAGAGTTCATCAACGTATCATCTACCTCCTCGCAAAATATATTCTCCTGATAATATAAATTATAAGAAACGAATTTTCGAAAATTTTCGCGCTTGCGTTATTAGGTGAACATGATTTGTAAAGAAGTCATCAACGCATCATCGACCTCCTCGCAAAATATATTCTCCTGATAATATAAATTATAAGAAACGAATTTTCGAAAATTTTCACGTTTGCGTTATTAGAAGAACATGATTTGTAAAGAGGTCATCAACGCATCATCGACTTTCTCGCAAAATATATTCTCCTGATAATATAAATTATAAGCAACGAATTTTCGAAAATTTTCACGCTTGCGTTATTAGGAGAACATGATTTGTAAAGAAGTCATCAACGCATCATCGACCTCCTCGCAAAATATATTCTCCTGATAATATAAATTATAAGAAACGAATTTTCGAAAATTTTCACGTTTGCGTTATTAAGAGAACATGATTTGTAAAGAGGTCATCAACGCATCATCGACCTCCTCGCAAAATATATTCTCCTGATAATATAAATTATAAGCAACGAATTTTCGAAAATTTTCACGCTTGCGTTATTAGGAGAACATGATTTGTAAAGAGGTCATCAACGCATCATCGACCTCCTCGCAAAATATATTCTCCTAATAATATAAATTATAAGAAACGAATTGGTTTGTGGGCTCTTAATGCTCTTTACTTAATTATCATGTTGTTAAATATTTTTCTATATTCGAGTGTCACCGTGTGAATGATGGCAAAGCTATGACATGTATAGCCGCTTGCTATACGTCGTCAAGGCCAAACATATGATATTAATTGATAATTCTCTGCCGAAATATTTTGCGTACTATATATACACGCGACATTTTAAATTATAGAAGTATATTTTATTTTAAATTAATTAATTATGAACGATTGATGTATCACGGAACAATCGCGATATATCACAAACCACCATCATGTTTCGGAGAGCGACCCGCCCACCGCTTCGCCGCGATCGTAGTATCTATATTTAATTAATTAATCGAACGATTGCATTCCGATTCATCTTTTCGTTCGGTATATATAAGTATTTAATCAATTAATCGAACGATTACATTCGGCTTGCCATTTTACTCGCCGCGTTACAGTGAATATCGCGCGAGATAGGCAGGCAACATGCGCGGCGTCGTGCACGATTTCGACCGTCCGCGCGCAGACGAAAAACAGCGAATTTATATCTCGACTTCCAGACGCGATTTCGTTCTTTTTGCATAAAATTCTACACCATTTCGCGGCACTACCGTTTAAATTTCGTCCCGATCGCCCGAAGAGCGGCTGACTTACAGTGAATATCCGAAATTTGCTTCTTGGACTCATACTTAAATGTAATATTTATACATATAATATAAATATATAATATAAATATATAATATAAATAATAGCAAGGAAAAGAGAGAACATATTAATATTTTTATATAATAAATTATTATTAATTAAATTATTTATATTTTTATTTATATTATTTATATTATCAGAGGGACATATATGTTATCCTCTGAGAACCTTCGTGGACATTTGTTTTGTAGTTCATATTTTGTTGTTAATGTTCATAGAGGGAGTATCACTTCCAGGGATAAAGCGAGCACGACATCTCTCAGTCTCTCTGTGCACGCTCGGTCGGCTTCGGTCAGCTCCAATCAGCGTTGAGCGCATGCGCATCGCATCGCCTCCACGCTGTTGACAGATATGACCAGAGAGAAATCTTCAAGGTTTCTCTCTGGTACAAGCTTTTATTTCTCTATCATAATATTTAGAGTATTAGATTTTTAAAAAAATGATTAATACTTTTTACATATTTTTGTAATTATATATACATAAGTCTTTTTATAATGAATTTTTATGAACTTATTTAAGAGAGATTTTTATAACTTATTTATTACTTGCTTAATTTTATAACTTTATAAAATCAAATTTTCCTTTTATTAAAGATTTCGAAACATTGAATGAAAACATTATTCACAACTGATTTGTAGCATACATGTATAATTAGTTTCAAAGGTAAGAGATATTTATTTTATGAAACTTTTTTAGTGAGTTTCAGATGTGAAAGCCAATATATTTTTTAATATAAGTTTAAATATTTTTAATCATGTGTATGAGTTCCATGACAATAAAATATTTATAATTCATAATTTAATATTAATAGATATGTGTGATAGCAGTAAAAATACTAATTTTTCTTATAATGTTATTGTATTTACAAAAATTGTTATAAATCATACAAGTAGAAGGAAGAGGGGGTCGCTGTTATAAAAAAAATTTGTTACATCGAAAATAATTAGATCCCTATTATGTTTGCAATAATAGTCATGGTGCAATTTATACGTATATTAGAGGTATATTGACTATTTTTTCCCTTCCACGAACTTATACAATACAACTTTATACAAAGTATATAAAAGCCGTTTCGCAGGCCGCTTTAAATACACATTTTGAACTCGCATATGTATACAAAAATTGACTTGACGTAAAGAAATACTTCTCGCTTAATATATTGTACATAATTTCACGCGTGTCACGCCTTACATGACGGTATCGCATATAAGGTGACTATGCGGTCACTGGTATTATATATATTTATGTGTATATATATATATATATATATATATATATATATATATATATGTATATATGTATATTACACAGATTTATACACAATACATTAGAGGTATGAATCAGAATAGGAATAGAGAAGATACTCTATTAAATTAAGTACCATTATACGTCACGTATGCAACGTATGTCATATTTTCACTTATATGTATAAGATATAAATAAAAGTATTTTTATACAAGTCAACATCAGATTCGTGCGCGAAATCGTACAAGCACCGCTTCGCACACGCATATCCGCGTGCGAAAAACACCGAGGAATATTATTATTATAAAAATAAATAATAAATAGGTCTCACATACAGAGATTCGGTATAGCGCTCATAGTCACTCACATACATACTGCACACATTACATATACATATACATATATATATTTATCATTAGTATCGAAAAAATAAATAGTAATACGGAAAATTCCGTTATATTTGTCGAGGCACTGTCTTCGCAAAACATTTCGCAATTACATTTGAAAAATATCGCATATTCTAGCGGCGATAATTTTCAATTTTTCTAATTAAAAATACCTGTAATTACACAGATATATATATAGCTTAATAAATGTTCTCTTCCAATTAAGTATATATATTTTGTAAATATTACCACATCGATGCTTTTCATTTATTAAACAAGGATAGGATAGATATTGTTACACTATCTAAAGAGAACAAATCATGCAATCTCTTTGTGTTTTTGTCAATAGTATATGATTCAAATATCATCGTCTCGCGGCACAGATCATTAATTAAATAAATTTATCTAAAATAGTCTACTGAATTTATTTATAAAGTTGTACGCGCACATTATTGTCATCGATAATACTATCACATATTTAATACAATGTTAAAATATTCAAATAACATGCCATTTTATTTTACTTAAAGTTTAAAGTTTAATTTTATATACACAGACATAGTACATATAGATCGATCCTACATCTAGTTTTGCTAATGAAGACAAGGTAGAAAAAGAAATAAAATGAAACATATATGTATATGTATATAGAAAGGAAGAGAGGTGAAGAATAAAAAAAATATTTTTCCTTATTTATGTTTGTGTAGTTTTTATAAAAAAAAAGAAATAATCTTTTTTTTTTATTTTGCCCGTGCTCTTTCTCTCTATTCTTCAAATTACATCACTCGATCTATATGTCTATATATCTATGGTTTCTTTCGTAATTAAAAACTTTAGCAATTTACTTAATACCATTATAGAGAGCGCAATTTGTAAATTTATAATATACGTATAAAATATAAATATGGATCCTGATCTTAAAAATCTTAATTAAATTGTATTGTATTATCTCTCTCATATTATATTGTATATAATTGTAAAAATATACAATTTTGCTTCTCATATTTCTTATAGGCAGTGTCTGTGACTTTAAAAAAATTCAATATAAAAAGTTACATTAAACATGCAATATTAATGTTTTTCAAAAAGTACTTACATACATTATAAAAATACAATTGTGTGCGTTGTAATACTTTCATTTTTAAGATTTGAGTAAGACAATCATATGTTGTATTACTCATTTGAAAGGGAGAGAGGAAAAAAGAAAAGGAAACGGACGAAAAGAGCGAGGTAGAAGAAAGGAAAGAGGAAGAGGAAGTGGAAAAATTTATTAATCTATACTAATCAGCCTTCTGTGTTTTCCTGCTTTGCATGGTACTTGAGCAGTAGCTGCTGGTCGCCCCGGTTCTTGTTATCAATGTTTTGGGTTAGAGTCTGAATCCTGCTCAGAACTGGAGCCGGAAGACTCCCCAACATTAACGTTCGCACTGCAGCGCGAGCTCCTTCGACTACCGGTGCTAGTGTGCCGGCATTTTTCATTACGATCCATTCCACCTATGATAATTTTGACAAAAGTGAGCATATTTTATCATAATAAATTGACTAATAAAGCTATTATTATAATAACAAACAAAATGAGAATTAAAATAAAGATTTATTATGAGAAAGTAGCGGTATTTATATGAAAAATCAGAAGAAAGATCTATGTTAAGTATTTTTAGGAATTCTCTTTCAGAGTCTTGCAATGTATGATATAGCAATATATTTTAACTTTCGAAATAAGATTTTTTTTTTAAATGATTAAAATTATCGACCTTGAAAAAGAAATAAAATCGAAGTTATTCAAATATAAATTCCAGTACCCGATCGAATTGTAATTAGTAAATAAAAAAAAGCATTTCAAGTTAGTTTAAATCTCAGGTGAAATCTCAAGCGGTATTTTTAAATAGCATTAATGAATTTTTAAAATTATTCATACTCACTGGTTAACGGTGTGTGAACCTCGACCTTAATGTTCGCCGTTGCAGTGACCTTGGTGGTGATGTGTCGAGTGGACGGAACTGGTGACGTTCGACTAGACCCGCTCGTGTCCGATCCGCTACAGTTCTGTTAGTCAAAGTGACAGGAGAACACGCTCGTTAGTCATGCTTGGAGAAGATGCGCGACAAATTGCACATCATTAGGGACGATACGCTTCCATGCTGATGGATTGATCGCGAGTCTATTGTTAGAACAATTTTTTGACGTACCTGATTGCCGCATGTGGACGTGGTTTCCACCTTGAGTTCCGGTTGGACAATGATGCAAGATTCCTGCGTGCTATGCCACGAGTTAGGCTCCTCTGTGATGGTTGTGAGTGACGGCTCGGCGTGCAATCTAGCGTTCTCGATTTTATGAGATCTCCTTGGCGGTGCGGGAGGCTTAGATCTTCTCACAATGGGTGATGCCGGTGGTGTCGGCGTAGATATACGATCCGGATGATCGTTCGGGATTACTTCTGCTGATGGACCGATCAGAGATAGGAGAATCGGGAAGAAGAAAATGCCATTTATGAGACCAACGCCGATCACGCATAACAGTATGAGGAAGAAATATTTGACTATAAAGTCGAAATCGGAGAAGGCAAGCATCACCGCCGCAAGCAGCATAGTAAGCGCACCGTGGACGATCGGAGCGCTCATATGCTCTAGAGCTAAGCGCATTCTGCGATCTCTGCTTCCGACACTCGTGATGAAACTCTGAAAAAGATTTAAAGATTATTAGTAAAAGCGCATCATTGATAAAATCTAAAGGTTTTTGCGCGTATCAACTAATATGATTATTGAACTAATAATCAAAGATATTTAAACGCGTCAATTTACTTCGAATCTTGAAAAAAATCGCATGATATTTTTTATCTTTAATGTCATAATTCAATATGACCAAAATGAGAAACCAGAAAGAGAAAAACATAAAGTGAAGTTTAGAAAACAGCATTAATATAGAGAAAAGTTTATTTGAAATTACACTTACTAGACAAATATGTACTGTGAAGTGAACACCTATGCCGACGCTGATTACCAGCAGTACGGCGGGCACGGCACTTAATTTGATGTCAAATAGACCCATGATACCTAACAATTGCAGAACGACGGCACCTAGAGAAGTGCCGACCAACAGGGTTGCCCACATATTCAGCAGTAGTACCCCGACAACGATGATGCTCATGATCAAAGCAGCCAGAAGGGCGATTCCTAAGCAGCTCCTCAGATCCATATATTGTTCCCAGAAGAGAAATGGTATGCCAGATGGGAAATTCGGCAGACCACGTTCCTCGAATTTCTTGCACAGTTTCCGAATGCTACCGATCAATTCTGTGATCTCCTGCGTATCAGTGAGCTTGTGAAGATAGAATGGCATCTGCGCATAAGTAAGCGGCATGCTCTTTGGAATTTTCAGCTCATGATCATTAGTATAGATCCACTGACGCGGTTCAGGTCGCAGATTCGCTTGCGAAGCGCCATAAGCAAGTGCGTCATTGGATGCCCAGGCACTCAAATAGTTGTAGAAAGCGCGCGGATTAATAATACCTTCCGAATCGACTAATCGCACTTGGGTGGTCAATGTCTTATCGATCGGATTATCCACATAGCCGGTCTGCACAAGTAATTTATATGCGAGAATTGCTTCGTCGCTCGCATTCTTGTACCATCTCTCCTGGGTAATGCAACCATTTTTATAATCCCTGTCAAACGCTGCTTGTAAATTCTTTAACCAATCACGGAATAGACCAAGCCAAAACTCGGACAACCCGCCATTGTCATTTTTAATGACGTTTTTGATCCGCACGAAAGCGTCGTGATAATCATATAACAATCGTTGATTGTTTGGATATTCAAAATCTCGCCCAGTGATTGCGTACATATTGTAAAAGCCAAAGTGCTTCGCCTGGGCGGTCAAAAATGCATGTTCGTTCGAATTCTGCGGTACCAAATCGGTCAAGTCCAAACCATCACGTACGCGCATCGCCTCCCATACACTGCCGGTCAACACGATGACTAAAACTATCATGCCGAATACTTTGGTAGCAGGCCGACTGATGAAGGGTGCATAATGGCGTGCTGCGAGTTGTGTCAAGGAGAAGCTCAGGCAGTCATCCTGGGAACAGCCGGTCAGAGCATCTTCCTCAGTGCACTGCTTTTCCAATTCCACGTCCATAACATGTCCACCTATCTGTAATAATGAAGAAATACTTATAGACATGGTCCGGTAATTTAAATTTGATATAAATATGTAAAAAATGACATTATTAGTTTTTTATTATTTTATTTTACTTATAAAAACAAGTTTCCTTCATTTCATTGTATTAGTAGATAATTGCTTGCCAATATAATTCCTTCAGTTTTTATTAATTCGTATGTTTATAGCTTTGCAATTTTTCGCTTTAAATAGAATAAGATTCAGTAGACAAATATAATATGCATATATGTACATCATTTCATACCCAGGATTCATTCTGCGTATTGTGCGAAGTTAGGATTTGAGTACAAGTCTCTCGTCTTTCAGGCGGGATTGCTCTAGTGACCATTTGCTTAATCGTGCCATTATTCGAGTATTTGTTCTTCTTGAGATTGGGCAATGCTGGTAAGCAACAGCAAAGAATATCTTTCCTGCCTGAACGTCTACGTCGCAGGTCCAGACTGACCATTGCAGGGAAGATGAGCAGCATAGCGGCCAGATTGAACAGCAGCAAGATACCGGTTTGCAGACAGAAGGTTCTGAGGGCCGGAATCGGGATTATCGCCGCGGCGAAGAAGGCGGAAACATTGCTAAGACCCGTCAGCAGCACCGACAGACCGGTTCGCTTGAGAACAACTCCCGTTTGCTCGCCGCTGGGCACCTCGTTCACCGACAGCTCGGCGTACGTGTGCGTCAGCAGGAACATGTCGTGCACGCCCAGACCGAGTGCGAGAAACGGCACTATCTGCGTCGTAGTGGCGTTAAACGGAATACCCAGAAGCGCGCAGAAGCCCAATCCGGCAGCTACTGTAGCGCAAATCAGCATCACTCCGGCTATTCCCACTCCGGACTGCGAGCGCACCGGATCCTTCCAACGAAGGAGGGCTATCCCGGCATATAGCAACTGGAAGAACAAAACGTAAAAAATTGTATGTATGTTAAATATAAATAAATTGAATAAGCTAAATGGAAAGCAGTTAAATAAATAAAGTGCTTTAAGCTTCATGATATATCATAAGCATAATAATCATATAATTAATTAATTGTAAAGCTTCTAACCATAAGTGCGCCACCGATCGCGATTTTCATGACGGACACCACACTGTACTTTCCGAGGATGTCATTCAAGGTAGTCGTACTGAAGGCATTCAGATTATACGTTGACACATTCAAGTCCATTCGCTTCTTCACCTCGTTGCTAAACGCTCTCTGCCAAGTTTCTAACACCTGGGCCGCCTTTTCCTGTGACCAATCAATGTGATGGACTTTGTACGTGTTCGCCAGAAAATCGTATAGTTCCCGTTCACCCATAAGTTGCACTACAGTTTGCAATGCGGCTGCACGAGTCAAATGACCTGTTTTGTTGTGCCTGGCACCGCCGATTAGAAGCTCTTCCGGCCAATGCATGTACTTGGCTGCGAATCCGTAGCAGCCACCTGTCAACTCGACTCCTACGTCAGGTATCTGTTACAGAAAGGAGTTACGGAGATAAAACGAGAAAATTTAATTCGTTTTGAACGGAATTAAATATTTCGACATAAAAAGAGAAATCAGAATCAAAATATATCCTCTGTAAAAAAAAAACAAAAGATTTTTATTTTTTGACACACAATTAATTCCTGACAATCAAATGTACGAGAAACATTTTTGTATTATTAATCGATAATTTTGAAAACTACGCGATAATATAATAATTAATATAAAAGATTTATTCAATATAGAAGATTTAAATAAAACTTCGACCATTCATGCGTGATTTCAATTTCAAGTTTACGTAATTAAAACGCATTTCTTCTTCTATCCGTCATCTCGAGAGCCCTTCTGCAACATTTTGTTTTTCATCTATGAATCTCTCGAGCGTGACCGCGAAGGCAGAAATCGTGTCAAGTCACGCCAGGAATTTCTCCGGTAAAAAATTATTATAGAGGTAGGAGGACAGGGGACGATTCAAGCAACGTTCTTTCCTATAGGGTAGTCGGGGTGCCGTGGACCCCACAGCGAGAGATTTTATAGAATCCTATAAAAGGGCATACCAACCGCGACTTTGGGCGATCTAGCCGCCTCGGGCAGAGCTTGTCCTTTATATCATGCAAGAACAGATAAGCGTTCTGCGCAACGCAACAAAGAATCTCTATTCCCAACCACAGAATTCTTTTGCTGTATCTAGACATCTTGTGCGAAGGTTTTCCTTCCCCAATTGTGTAGAAATACAAACTGTCTCTTACTTCCCTCGAATCGATTATCAATTCTTTTGATCGATCTTTTTCTTTAAAATGTCGTGGCCGCACTTTTTAACCGCAAAAACCGCAGCCAGTAATATATAGCCTTTAAATTGATAAGTGACTGAAATTAAAAAGCTTTTCTTAAAAACTTGAGATGGAAACATATCATATTCCTCAATTGATTTTTCTCATTAGTAGATTTCATTTTCGAATTTTAATTTAAAGTTTAATTTAGACGAAATGTCTAAGATCCAAAACTGACAATTCGCGATAAATAAAACATTAAAAAAAAATGAAAAATTTATTATTCTTATCTTATCATTTTATGCATAAGGGTATATCTATATACTAACTGAGTGCAATCGGTACAAGCTAATATGATCAAAAGCAATCATCCTAATCGAATTAAAGGCGTGTGGTCGAGCACCATCGGAAGTATATAAACCAAAAGAATATATATACATAACAAAGACATATACCAAATAAAGCCTCGCGATCGTCCCCACATTGCAATTCGAATCGGCTACCTCACACCTGGCTGCCGTTATGTAATTCCAGAAGAAGAAGCGTGTAGAATGTAGTCGAGTCATCGGCACGCTTTTCATGCTTTTTACTCGTGCCCGTGACACCTTCTACCAACGTGTCTTCTGAGAGCGTTTGAGAGATAAACGTGTCCACGAATACGCTTGCATCTCTAATTCCGATATCTCTTTGCCGGCGTTTTTCCAGTTTCTAATTGCGTGTTGAGGAAGCTTATTTTTAAAATTATTAACAAACGAAAATTGACCCATCATTTCCATTTTAATCGACAACGTTAATCGCAAATTAATTCGCGTCAATTCCGTTAAACTAGCGAGAGGAAACGCAGCGTTATACATCGTTGCCGAAGCGACTTCTTCGAGACACCCCGTGTACACGCGGCGGAATACGCCGATGCCGGTTCTTGACTTAAACACCCGATCAACGTGCTTCGCCTGCAGCTACACTCGAAATATTCCGAAGCGTATGCATGCCGCGCGATGCGTACCGCGTGGTGCCATTAAGTGCAATTACTTTAAGTACGAGAGCGCGCATACATCCGTTATGAAAATAGAAATAGATGTGTGTCTGACGAAGACGGAAAAAGAGAAAGGGAGGCGAACGAAGAGAGAAAGAGAGAACCGGGGAAGGGAAAGGGTGGAGCAACGTAACTTTGTCGATGCACATACGCATACGCGCGCGCGTAACGATTCACGTCGTGCACGTGTCAGAGCACACCGGCCGGTGCGTATGTTAATGACACCGAAATGACGGCCGCGTAATGCGATGCGCGTGTGTATATGTGTGCGTGTGCGTATGGGACCTGCTGGGCCGGGCGTGGTACTCTCGCGACCACCGGCGTAGCGCAATAATGACGCACGTCACTCGATTTTATTATTTTAATGAACGGGAGGCCGTCGTGCGCCCCCCGTGCCGCGGCCCACGCGACTCGCATATTCATCGGTCGTTTCGCGCGAGGAATCGTCTTTTCATTTAATCCGAGCCTCTCCTTCCCCTTTCACTGTCTCGCGTTTGACGTCCGGAACCGTCGACGCCGGTCGTCATGAATGACACATTCGTTAAATTGAGAAACGCGTCTTTTTTCTTTATTATCATAGATCACAAATTTATATTCTTTTTTCGAAGATAATTACAAGCGATTGGATTTCGATTTAACCATTTCACTATTATTTTTCAAAACGGTCAGTATTCACAAATCCATGATGGATTATCAGGTAATTAAATTAGAAAGAGAAGAGAAATTAGATTATCGGAGAAATTACAATATAGACGATCTAGAGCAAACTATAATCATTATAATCGTGAGAACAATGATTCGAGTCAAGAACTTTTGCAAGCAGACGAATCGAATACATATCGCCAAAAAAAATTTCGATCGTAGAGAGAGACGTGTGGTTAAATATTCATCGTAGACGATGCCTGCGGAATTGCTGGTTGGACATCAAAGCGACCATCAATTCGTGGTCGTTGTGTCCGCTTCGGAATATCAAACGTTCACTCGTTATTCTCAGCGCGAATCGCACGCACGATTGCCCCATCGATTGACAGTCTTTATCTCGTTACAACGTCCTTTTTTGTTTAACAGAGTGCATCTGTTTGTCAAAATTGCAGCTTACAATTTTCGCTGAAAGTATCGATTGCTTACATCTTAAATCTCGCTCCAAATCTCATTATTAAACTGTGTGTATTTTTATGATATCTCTCATATACTTGTCGCGCTACAACATCGTAAATCTTCCTCGAGACATTTTTTTGTAAACTTTTAGAAATCGTTCAATGGATCATTAAATGATTCTACCGATTGAGCAAATACATCGACGGGTCTTTTACCTGTTGGGATTTTTTGTTAGGCGCGGTTTCCGGGCATTCCGGATCCGTCGGGTTCAAGCAAGGCTTGCTCTGATAGCCGTTCGTTATTCCGGCTCTCTTCATGAAGTCCTCGAGCGTTTTAAAGGGGAAGGTGAACTGCAACTTCTTCATCTCGTCCAACATTCTTGAAGGATTAAGGTTCGTCCATTGGACAGGTTTGTTGTTCTCGTTGCTGTTATCCCGAAAGAGAGATCTAAATGAGTATTCGTCAAGCATTAGCAATGTATATTTAAGATTAAGATTCATGCGTAACGTAACATAATTAGACTAAATATTGATCAATATCGAGAAAAAAATTTGATTCTCTAAACATTATTTCGTCACTTATCATCAAAATAAACTATTAAGAAATTTACTGATAATATATACTTACGGTATATGAACAGGATATTCTGGACCTAAGAGTTTGCTACCTTCCCAGAAACAATCGAGGGGTGTCATGATGGCGCAAGGTATAATACTTTCAAAGATCTGCAAAAGATGAAAAGTATATCAATGTGTCTTTTCCTTCTTCTTCTTCTCTCTCTCTCTCTCTTTCAAATATACTTTAATATCGTTATTAATTGGATAATACATTTTAATATCATCATTAATTCACTGGATTTGTAATTATTATCTCATAATATAAATTATATACATATATTTAAATCTAGTTGTAATTTTCTTGAATTTCTTGCATTTCATGTTAATTATTATCTCATAATATAAATTATATACATATATTTAAATATAGTTGTAATTTTCTTGAATTTCTTGCATTTCAAGTTAATTGACTTGATTGAGGGGAGGGAAGCTCACTTTCTCTGTTCCGAGAAGTTGGCGATCGTTTTCGCGTGGAATGATTCGAAACGCACCTGACACGATACCGCAGCGGGACGCCGGCGCCATTATTCAACGCTAATTGCTCGTTCCCTTGTTCTGTGGCCCTCGCAACCTTACCCCACGCAACTGATATGGCGCTTGCATGCGATACATAGTTGCGAACATACACATAAGCGGATTTGTCGAGAGAGTGAGATAGAAAGAGCAGCGTACAGTACATCTTTTCAGCGTACGAATTCTACATTTTAATTTGATTACCGAACTTTAAATAATTAATAATAATTATATTCATAAAAAATTGTTACTTAATTTTTATTTAAATAAAAAAAACGGACTTAATGCAAATTTTTTCAATTTTCATTCTTACTTTTTTATTTCAGTTCCAAATTTTATTTAAATGAAAGTGATATATAAAATTATTATTATATATTATTGCTATTACGTTATTAGCAATAATAATATACTTTCTAGCTGTTAATTATAATTGATTTTAATTAGAACAGAAGCGATAGAAAAAATAGGACAGAGAATAGTGTCGTGAATAAAATATGATTGAAATATTAAGGACATTATTCGATCCGATTGAATTGATATCGCTTGGCGAAAAAAATATTCCGAAAGGTGAAAGATAATCGAATCGCCGGATGAATTGATGCGAGCGCATGGGAGCCCGTTCTTGATAAATGCAAATTACGAGTTTGGCGAGAGATTGCTTCTCAAGCGTCATTCAGGAAACGCGAGAGCGCGCCGAGCTGTTTAAACAGCGCTTAGATACAGGGTGTAATCTAAGATGATCCTATCCCGCGCTGTCGGACGTAAGACGCGCGAGGGTTACGAAAGAACGCGGACCGCCCTATTCGAGTTTCCAGGAACCCAGAGGTGGGCCCTCGTAATGGCCTAGTACCCAGAAAAACCCGTGCGACGACCGTTAATGTTGCGGAGTCGGATATTAGTAGGATCAGATTTTGTTAACGGAGAAAAATCATCCTCTCGCGCTCCCTTATATTTTTTTGTTATCGTCAGAAAAGAAAAAAACAAACTTTAAAGTGTTTCTTTGAATCTCCCAGACTGATTATATCGTGATCACTTGCAGCGAAAACTTCGTAAGATTCCCTAGAATTAAATTTTTACTTTTCCAGATAGAAGTAAAAAATTGTAATTACATGTATCGTGTCACGTTGCGAAGAAAGTTTCTCTTCCGGTTGCAAACGAGAGTTTCGGCGGTGCGAAGCAAGAAAAGACTCTCGCGTGAAACATGTTTATAATATATGTCTCGGAAGCGAGATATTGATGCATGATGAAATCTCCAGACTAAATTTTTCCCCTTAAAATGCCTTCATCGCTTTTCTCTTTAACGTTTTACTCGTTAATTATGTGTGAAGCAATGTGAAAACGTGCACATATTTTATTTTGACAGCCAGCAAATACACAGAGAGAAAAAGAGAGAGCTGTCACAAATTTTAAATCTTTTAATCGATATTTTTCTCGAACAATAAGGAAAACGAGATGTTATAAAATCGCGTTAATTCTTATTTTTTGTAATAATATATGTATAATATATTGCATTAAATGAGCTTTTCCGATTGATATAAATTAGGAGATGACAATTTGCATTACGATTAATCAAGATTTCTAATACAATTAATAAAAGATGATAAAGACGGTACTTTATCGCGCTCGTAGATTTCAATGTCGCTATTTCTTAACAACAGCTATATTGATACTTTATTAACGGACACACGTCACGTACGTGTCACGTGCGCGCGCTGATACCTTCGCTAGGGGTCTAATGGGATCCCGAGAGACGGTGCGTAAACACGCGTCCGCGCGCGCCATTCATGCTACACATGCGTGCGTCTGCGCTCGCGTATGCGTCGTGTATACAGTATACACGCTCGTTTGAATTACCTGGTCAATGTAGTGCAGGTCGAAGTTGGGTATGCTTGGCGCGTAACACAAGTCCTTCAGCCTCCACGTGCTGCAAATGACACACACATTCACGTGACTTTGTTTCGCTTCAATTTCGGGTAGAAATGAAACCGCGCGATTTTAAGAAATTTAATCAACTTTCACAAACTTTATCAACGTACAATACATTTGTCAAACAATCTGTACAATCTGTACAGTAATAAAAAATGAATATTACTAAATATTTGTTGCTAAATAAAGATATTAATAAGCAATTGATAAATTATATCAAGGCAGAGAGCAATATATTCGGATAGATTGGCGGCACACAATCGGGAAATTAACAGTCTTATATATGAAAAAATACGTCGAACATGTGAAATGAAATTTCTGTTCATTCGAGGCTAGGAATTTTCGAGAGAAAATTGTATTCATTATAAAAATTAAAATCAATAATATCATGCGAGAAAATATTATTCCGTATCTTTTACTTAATTTTTCACGTTTTTTTTCTGGTTTGCATCACTAATAATGGTATCATTATCCGGTACAAACATTACAATCCCCTCTATGCGGAGATTAATTAAGCCGCCAAAATATCTCTGTCCCTAATTAATTCGGTTCTCGAATCAAGACGCTCGAATCTTTCCGCGCGGAGAAGAGGACTCACATATCGAACAGGTGCACCGTAACTTGCGTCGCAGCCTTCAAGACGGCCAAATGTTCGTTGAGCGCGGCCGGATGCAGGATATTCACTCCAGAGTGCTTCGGTGTCTGGATGATGAGCTGATGCGTCGAGGGAGCAGCCTCGCCGAGCGCTTTCGAGGCGTAGATCAGCTCCCTTTCTAACCTTCCACCTTCTGCAAACAAAGCGTGCGATTGATTAAATTTTGCAAAATTTCAATAATTAATTGATATACGAGATTGATATACAAGAGGATAATAACTTATATTGAGCAGTGATTCAGATTAATTATTCATATATATATTAATTGTGTCACATGTGATGCATTTTCTTTTATCTTTTATTATTTAAGTTATTCGATTAATAACTGTTATTTAACGAATATTTTTTTTTTCTCTTGAAACTAACAGAGAGTCATTTATGCGGTGGATGATGGAGAACAAGATTAGCGATGTTCAAAATTCAGCTTTTACGAGAAGATTAAAATGGGGGGAAATGCCGCGAAATTCACGTGTCCCTTCAGTCGAACGACTTTATAAAGCCTTCCAGCGGACGATGTTTGCGGCCAACACAATTCTCCGAAGAGAAACATCGGACGAGACGGTGTTGTAACGTACACGTATCCTCGCTCGGCTTTGTACCAGCGCAAAAATTCCTGGCAGTCTACTAATAAAACATTCCCAGAAACGGTCGCGAAAATAGCGGTTCCAAGCGCGGCGAGGGAAGACGATTCGTACAGTTCGACTGCCATAAATCATCCCCTACAGGTATTCATTGTTTTCCTTATATATACGCGATTACAAATTCTATACGTTCAAAGTAGCAATACATAAAAAGCGAAGAGCGAGTAATAGCACGTGAAACTAGTCCATTTTAACAGTGTGAGAAAAAGGAAGAGATTTATACGATTCTTCTGACAATCCTCCGAAGAGAAAACTTCCGGAATAACAGGAAGGGAGACATGCACAGCTGTAGAAAAAAATACATCGAAGTGCTGACGGTATCAGCTGCTCTTCTTTCAAAAAATAAAGAGAAAAAGACTCTCGAAAGAGATTCTGTTTTAAAAAAAGATCTACGTCTCGCAAGAGAGACGTTATTTCCCTCGAAAATACGCGGCCGCACATAAGAGCATCATCCGGCGCTGATCTCCCCGCTCCTCTTCATCTTATTTTTTTTCTTACTTTTTATAAGCGATTTGAAGAAGTCGGGGACACAAGAAGCCGCGGAGAGTCGTCGTTTTTACGGGGAACGCGCTGTGCGATTTAAAGGAGTTATACACCGTATATATATGAGCAGTAGTAATGGACGAGGGGCACACGAGGATGATGGCCGTTGCGCGCGCGCGCGCGCGCAGGGTACCCTGGTATCCCACCTAGTCAGATTTCACCGTCAAAAATGCCGACGGCGTATTTGCTCGTTCCGCCACGACGCGGTCGCCGTGGACCACCCGTATGCTCGCCGCGCGAAAGTGGTTCTCAAACGGTCATCTCGCGGAAACCATCTTGGATGACCAAGCTTCCTACGGGGAGGGTACAAAGGTTTCCTAGTTACGTAGCAGTATACTTGTTTTTTCACTTTCCGAGATGATTGGAAGTCGATCGATGCGAAACCGCCATCGGAAAGGAGGACGTAGAAAAATTTCAGAAAAAGTTGTAATTTAACAACAGAGAGATATACGATTTTGCTATTTTAAATTGATGAAAATTAATTTGTCATTTTATTATTAATTTATTATTATTATTTGATTTGTTAAAAAAAGGTATATCATGCGATTGTATCGCAATCTTGCAACAATATAAACAATTGAATAATTTTTTCGAAATTACTTTAATTAAATGTATATTTAATTTTTTCTCAAATAACAGATAATTAAAATAATACATATTATAAATAGTATAGATTATAAATTAAAGATCCTAAAATATAATTAAAAATTAAAAAAAAAGATAAATAAAAATTATCTAAAAAATCGATATAAATATCATAATAATATAATAATATCTAATACTGAAATAATAGTGAAAGTTTTATATAAATATAATTTCATATTATATAAGACAAAATATATAATATGTATATTCGATATCTCACAAAATAATTGTAACAAAGAGGAAAAGATAGGAACCGATTGAGAATTTAGAGATTTTCTTTCATTCCGTTTACATCCGGCGGAAGCATCTCTCGAATACGTTCTTCATGAAGAAGGTAATAAAGGTATTGGAAAGAAAACGGATCTCTGGCTTAATTTCTTTCAGGTTTCAATTATTTACGGTCTGAAAATTCTGCAAATTGTCTGTTTGTCCGTGAACAATTACATTTTTCCAACCATAATAATGACAGCTTTTTACTTACAATACATATATTGAGACAAAATTTATTTTTCTTAAAATCATGTTTATATTTAGTAGAATTTATTTTTGCCACTCATGAGTCATACGTCATACATTTTCGATATTATTGTCAAAGGTTTATGGTCCCTTTTATCAAATTTTATTACTGATAACAATAACAATTCCAAGTTTCTTCAAAGGAGAATCACATCCCTCTCCAAAAGCATCCTTTTTTTAAAATAGAGAAATTTTATCAAAATCAATAATAATTTCGATTAAAAATGACTTCAAAACTGCATAATTTTGTTTTGAATTTTATTCATTCAATAATATGTAAAATTACATGCAAAATTAATGATGTAATTTTTACTGTTTAATGTACGATAAACACTTGAATCATTTAATTTAATAGATAATTTTAATTTTATTCTGTCCCTCGCGTGACAACTTTGATGACGTAACTGTCTCTACGACAGCGAGCTCGTGAGTTTGTGAGTCAGCCTGTAGAATGCGGCCGAGCATCGAACGTAATAAAGACACTACTCTGTGCTCTACGAAGCAAGAAACGTAGCTTAACGGTGGAAAGTCAGGAAGAAAGAGGAGGAAAGACACAAAAAGAGAGAAACAGAGAGAGAAAGAGGAGGAGAGAGATAGTTAAAAAAAAGGGACAGGATCGACGAAGACGCTTAGAGGGGAACGCTTAGACTAGCTCGCCGAGAAAGAGAAAGAGAGAGAAAACAAGAGGAGGGGGAGAGAAAGAGATGGAGAGAGAACACCGGGCTTGATTTATCGACGAGACGTCTCTGTAATTATTTCTCCGTCCCTGTCTCGTTCACGGGAAAGAAGGAGAGCAGGGGGGGGGCAGGGGGAACAGCGGCAAACCGCGTTCTTCCCATCCCGTCTATCTGCACCCTTCCGGCTACCGTGATTGCGGCCTCTCTCCACGCATCGGTCCCGCTCGCTCCGGGGCACTCTTGAATGGCCGCGTCGTCTTTCAGCTCTGTCGGCGCGCCTCTCATTCACCATTCCTCTCCTATTGTTTCCGCAAACTTCCCGTATCCCGGAGAACGGAAGGATGGGGAAGGGGAAGGGACATCTCGCGCGACAACGATTAGCATCGCGATTTCCCGCGATATCCTCCCTTATTTTCTTTCGCAAAGCGGCACAAGTCCTGGGAGTCTCGTCCCTCTCTTTAGAGGATTTCTCTCTCTTTCTCTTTCAGGGTCAGACCGGGGGTCAGTCATCGACGTTAATGCGATATCGTGGAGCTTAACGATCGCATCTTCCAATTGCGGTTCAAGAAAGAGCTCTATTAGGTTGGGAATAACGATTCCCAGCTCGACCACTGGGATTGCGAGATCGATATATGTGCGAGATCGGAGGTTTCGAAAGTTCTCCAGGAAGAGGATAACGAGAGCGCCCTCCTCTACGTCTCTCTTTTGAAGAGGGGGAATGTGAGTGCAGGTGCACGCAGATTCCCTCATTTGTATACGTATACTTCGCGAACTTTTCTTTTTTCATCCTTCTCGTTTCTCTTGCCTTGTATGTTTAAATGTTAATTAGTTTAAATCGATATCGTCAGAATCGATACAATCGTTAATTCAATCAGATTAATTTTAATAATTTGCAACATTTTTACACGAACAAGATTTATCTATCACATTTATTTTAATAACACAAATAGTTTTTGATTCATTTGCGTTTTTGTACATTCCACGTATTATTAAAATTATAATTGTATATTTAATGTAATAATTGTATATTAAATATTTGGATATTTAACGCAGACAGAAATTTGCAAAAATGTTTTCAAAATTTTCTTTTAAATCGTGCACAACAATTGTAAAATTTTCACGAGAAAAATTCAAGAGCCATATCTTTATCAATTTATTATATTAATTTAATATATTAGTCATATTTATTTTTCGAAGAAAAATAAAAAAAAGTAACTCAAAAACAACTCCAACGCAATTCGAAAATTATGAGCAATAAAAATATTTCATGTAAGAGATGAGGATGTAAGATATGCCATCCGGTCCTGAAATACTCTCCGCGCAGCTATTATCTCAATTATTATTTCAGATCGATGGTTTGTCAGAGTCGGATCTATTCATCTCCGGCGTAAGTGCGGACAGCTTTATGGCGTGTGAAAATGTAAGAACCACGTGGCCGCAGTCTCGTTAGGGGTCCTTGTTCTTGCGACACGCCTCAGCTGACTGCTGTTGCCGCGTTTCGAGTCCTCCGGAGGAAATGCTTAGAAATTCCTGCGAGAAGAGCGTGCACGCTCGTTTTCCTTTTCGTGAGATTAATGGACGGTTCTTCCAGGCGTACAATTTCTCATTTCCTATATAACAAAATTTCGTCGAATATCGGCTGGCGAAGAAAGCCCATAAAACACGAGTTCAAAAATTTATTAATCGCGTTAATTGAGATAATTAGCAGATGAAGAGATTTATTTTGTCCTATTTCTCACTCGATTTGTCGCGCGTGTCTTATTTTAGAAAACTATGCAAAATTGTCACTTATTTCTTGTTTATAACAAAATCGTATTGATTTACTTGAAATGGATATTATAACAATTTGTCTCTTCTTATAAATATACGCTGCTTAATTTTTGTAAAAATATTAATATATATTTTATATATATATTTTTTTTCTTATAATATATTATAAATAATTTATATGATTTGAAATATACTCACAAATACATATTAAACAATCAAGACTACTGTACTTAAAATTCTTATGCCAGCTGTAATCGTCGAATGCAGGAAATGGCAAACCATCCGAGTTACTTGCGCCAGAAAAAACAAGAAAAAAAAAACATTTTATAGCTACACGTTCA